CAAGGTACCACTGTATATAAAATGGGGCAATGTTAAACAGATGGGCAGATTTTTTTGTAGTCGGGTTCCGTTTTCTTTTTTCCTACAGAACTATGGTGGAAATATAGTAGTGTCTTTGGAGAACTTTTTTACATATATGCAGTGAGCATCTCAAACATTTACAATTCTATGGGGGTGTTAAGGATAAAATATTCATAGGTGCTAAAACAATCATGGTAATTGTGGCTTTAAACACATTTTCTGGCATCTACCCTGAATAGGTCATGGTACTAGATCCTTCTGAGTCTCCCCAAGAAGAGACATTTGACCAGCTGTCCCTTAAAGCAGAATCTGAAATGAACGTTGATGATGGTGTGTGTTTACCCATGAAAAGAGCAACTATATTTTGGGAGGGGAATCTGGAAGATGTGATAGAAGATGAAGAGGAGCTGGTGGAAGATGGCAACGAGGAGTACCAGGGGAATTGTTTGGCAGAAGATGCACATGCAAAGGAGACTGAGGCAACAGATGAGATGGAAAGCCAACTTGAAGGCGAAGATAGTGATATCATTATCGGAAAAGAAGAGTATCAAGTATGTCTTTGTATTGGTGTCTGTGTGTTCTGATCTTCAATCAAAAAGGCTCTCAGATGAGCATAGGTAGAATCAAAGCATTTTAAAATTAGGATGGGGTAGTGAAGAAAGAAAATAGAAGCTTATGCATCAGCCCTTATTATAATTAATGCAGTTAATGTAGAGCTGGCCTTTCATCAGGATTGATGGATGGACCTTGCTTCTTTTCACATCATTTCTCTGTAGTATAGCAAAGAAGTTAGGCTGCCTTCTAGCAACAAAGTCACGCCAGATTGCCGGCCTTGGCTGATCTCAATAAAAACTAAACAGGGTCATGTCTGGTTAGAAAGTATATGGGACACAGACTAGACTGAGTCTTTTTAAAAAAAATCTGGAAAAAAGTAATGGCAAATCACTACTGTACTGTTGCTAAGAAAACTACACAGAAGTAGCTAAGTACTATGGGGAATATCCCAAGTGGAACAACCAACAAACTGGAGTAGGGTTAACAAGGTGTATCTTGAAAGAAAAGAACAATGATCATTGGGCACTTCTCCAGAAAGAGAAAAGACATTCAAATAAAGAGCAGCAAATATATGTTTCCAGTATACCTATACATTTAACTAATATTTATGTAATCAATGATCAGTAGCTACACAAGATTGCATTAGGCTATGTGCATTCTGTACAGGCAGTCTCTCTTTAGCTGTTGGTGAGAACCAGTTCTAGTTTAGGACTAAAGGAGTTGTGCCAACTCGTAAGGTTAAAGACGTTTTCTTTGAGGTTATCTAGTTCTTGTTACTCTCTGCATCGCCTGCTTGCTTAATATAATTCCATTTATTAGCCAAGTTCCCTCCATGGTAGTCACAGGAACTGAGCTGGACTCAAAGGGGCCTTTGCCTAGCAACTGAAAGGCAGAATTTTATATTTGAAAGAAATCTAGCTTGTGTTTATCCTGCATATCTGTACCCTGCCTTTCTACAACAACCCATACTCAAAGTTGATTTTCAATACTCTAATTCAACAATAATTTTTTTTAAAAAGCAATCAAAATGGACTATAAAAATGTCATAAAAGCCATCCTGGTAGGTAGCAAATTAAAGAACGTAATAAGGCAGGCTGCTTTTAGAAATGGAAGCAGAAATAAAAGGGAGTTGAGCAGGAAGCAGGCTAGCAGGGGTATCTGTAGGGTGTGGTCAAAAAAGTCAATATGGAGCTTCAATTGCATCTTTGTGGCTGCTATCTTGGATTTTTTGACCACATCCTGTGGAGATTCCTGCAAGGTGGTTTTTTTGGATTGCCTATTCCATAGTTTAGATGCGGCTGAAAAAGTCATGTTCCTACAAGATGTACTGTAGAAGGAAAGCAGCAGGGGTTGCCTAAGTGATGAGCAAATTGTTATTGCCTGTAATGGACAGAAGGAATGACCTTGAAGAACAGGAGGAAGAGCCACTACCAAGACAGTGGTCGGATAAAAGAAATCTGAGTCCAGGCCAGAACTGTAATCTGAGAAGGTTTCTCAGATAAGACCCACCCTCATTCTCACAAAAATAAAGGGAAGGAGGGGGGAAGCACATTCAGACTTGCAAGATTTTGTTCTAATAGCTCTATAATAAAAATAGTATTAGCCTGCATAACTTTGGTTTCCTAGTCTGGTCTACCTTGGTCATTTCATAAAGTGGGTGGCCACACAATTACACTGTTAGCAGTCAATATATGAGCCACCAATGTTAATGGGATGCAAACCAGTGTAGGATGTTGGGAGGATGCACAACTTTATATGCCTGTGAGGCACCTCCAGGTGCCTCTTTGCTATATGACTCAGGAGGAAGAGTAGGAAGTGTAATTTGACTTTCTTCACCCATTCACATTTGCTTGGAGAAAGGAGCCAGCTTACTCCAATATAAGCCATCTTGCAGGTGAGAAAACTATAGGCATATCCTGAATGAAACGATGATGATGATGAAGAAGAAGAAGAAGAAGAAAATAGGAATAAGTGTTGATAATTTGGGCTGTACCATGAATGTATTAATGACTATCTAATCCAGTATTGCTTCTCTTGTCTAAAAGACAGGATTGCTAGATTTTAGCATCATGTCTACAAAAACTCACCTTGTATGCCATAGCACAGAAAATCTCATAATGTTTATTCCTGGTGCTCATCTTTAGAAGTTACTCGATATAATAGAGGAATTGAAAAATAAGTTAATAGATGAAAAGAAAGCTAAGCTGCACATGGAGCTAAAAATCCGTGAAGAAGTTACTCAAGAATGTCTTCAGTACTTCACTGCAAAGGAGAGTGATCTCAAGTAAGTCTTCTGTTCTTTGTGTGTGCATATTGTTTGGGAGTTTGTCAAGATCAAGCTGCTTAAATCAGGCAGCAAATTACTTAACAGTGATGGAGCTATTTCTTGTGAATTTTAAGTTAAAACAAGGAAGGACTATAAAAGTCTTGGTTACTACTCAAAATTTAAGATATATTTTTGTAAAAAAACAACAACCAGTGTGCTCCTGCCACTTAAAGGTTGTTCACTTATATACTACTGATAGGTAGCATTTTCATTCACCCGTAAAGCGACCAATTTGCAGATAACCTGAAATTATAAACTTGTGCTTGAGTGAACAAGCCAAATGTGTATAGATTTTTGTTATGTAAATAAATAAAATGGTCATCTGGCAGATGAAATGCCCTGGTTTTTCTCTAGCATACTTATGGAGAAATATGAAGCTTATAGAAATACTCTTTCAGATAATATATTTTGGTTTACCTGTATAAATCATACTGGAAACTACATGGAGTGACATTGGAAGCCTTCTTCTTTAATTAAAATCCTGTGTCTACATAAGTTAATGGTGCACTGGGATTTTCCCGTTCCCAATAAATTATGGCCAGTTTTCCTCTTACCTCTCCTCTGGTTTGTGGTGACAATAATGTTATCCTGTGTAATAAGGAACTTGCATATGAAGTGCAATTCTTTGATATCCAAAACTGTTATCTCCTCCAACTGAAGTGTTAAAAGTGTTAAAAGAACAAGCTGAAGCGGGTAGATTGGTATGATTTATTTTCAAGAGGAATATGAGTTATTTCTCTCTCTTGACATATTTAGGAAAATGTTTAGTGATAAGGAAGAAATGATGGAGGACATCTGTGAAGAGCGCATGAACATTTACAAGGAGCTGGTGAAGGAATGTATTGCACTACCAGATGGCAAAGAAGGAGCAGAAGAGACTCTAAAAGAGGATGAAAAAGTGGTAAGTTTTGTTCCAGCAAATGTAGGCAATCTTAGTACAGGTCATCCTTGGTTAATGACCATTTGTTCAGCAACCATTCAAAGTTACAACGGTGCTGAACAAGGAGAGTTAAGGCTAGTCCTCAAAGTTGCAGCGGTTGTAGTGTCCCCACGGTCACATGATTGCGATTTGGGCACTTGGCAAATGGCTCACAATTATGACAATCACAGTGTCCCGAGGTCACATGACCACCATTTGCAACCTTCCCTGCTGGCTTCCGACAAGCAAAGTTAGTGGGAAAGCTGGCAGGGAAGATCGCAAATGGCAGTCACGTGACATTGTGCTTAATGACTGTAGCTGGAATGCAACAACTGCCGTTGTAAACTGGCGTGGTCACGTGACATCACACTTTATGACCACATTGCTTAGTGATGGAGTTCCCAATCCCAGTGACCATTGTTAACCAAGGACTACCTGCATTTATCTTCTCCTACTAGGTCAGCATGTCAGCTATACTATCTTTGAAATACGGCCAGTGAATATACTGTATACAGTTCCTGTTTGATTCCTCTCTCTGTCGCCACTCAGGACCAATTCAGCTTGCTGTAAATGTTTACTTACAAGGGCACTTTAAGCAGTTCACATGTATGAGGTGGAGCATCTCATAGGTTTGGTACTGAATACAGCTCACATCTATGGGGGTACCTTTTATCACCACACTATTGCATCTGGATAATGCTAAGTTACAGAAGGCTGCTTAGTGTTTGCAATTCAGGACTTTAAAGCTTGACATTCTTTCAAACCAAAATGCTTTCTTCTGCCTCTGCCTGCCTTTCAGGCAGATATGGAAATGATAAACCCCAGGTTACTTCATGTTTACTGAATTAAGGTTAAAATGAAGAAAACACTGTCTTGACATTTTCTCCTCACTTCTCTGGTTTACCATATGGCAGGTCAAACTTCACGCATGGTTTATGGGATCAGTTGTTTTCAAAGGTGACACTGGCTTACCACAGTCAGACACAAAAAGGAAATATTCAGAAGGGAAAATGTCTAGTTTTTGAATTAAAAACCCTGCTGATCTATTTCAGGTCAAACATATACCAACAAACCTAGTTCCACTTTCTGTCTGCCCTGCTCTAGCAGGCTTACCATGGGCTTTACCCATGGCTCTAAGTTATAATGGGGTTGCTTGATTTTGGTTTGGTATGCTGTATGAACCTGCCAACTTTGGCTTCTTCTCCGTGAGTCATGGTTAAAGAAGCCATGGTTTAATTTGATTTCTGAACCCAGTCTTATTCTTCTTTCTCCTCTTTCTTCCTTCCCCAAACAGGTAGGGAGTTTTTCAGTAATACTGTTAACTTGATAGGGCTTCTGAGACTTTCACTGCAGATCTGCATGAGTGCACGTTTTCGGTACCCCTCTTTTTTTCCCTCCCCCCTTTTAAATGTCATGTTTTTTGCAACAAGGGAGGTGAAGGTGGAGAACCTGAAAACGTGGCTGATCTTCCCAGTATGGTGGTGTCACTGCAACATAACGTTGCTGATATTAAGCAACAGGCAGAGATGGCATTTGGCGTGCTTGACGCTTTGGAAGAACCTCAACTGACTATTGAGCGACTTGAAAAGCAATTGGCTGACGTTACAGCAGAGCTAGCCCATGCTCGAGAGGACCTCTTGAACCAGAATAAAGGTACATGCAGAGGAAAGACAATAAACTCTTGGCTGCAGTCTGAAGGCGCATACAGCCAGTTTCACATGCCCGGAAGAGTGATTTCGGCTTGTCTTTAATCCTTATCAGTTTAAATGGGAAATTAATGTTCCTCAAAATATACCAGCAAAAACTTGGGAGTGGATTTGGTTACATGTCCAAAGGATCTCTAAATAAAAACATTCTGTAAATCACCATTTAGACTATATCTGTTCCTCACAGTTTGAAAAGAGAAATGAGCTAGGGATGAACACTGGAGATACGATAAACACAGGTACTGTTATAATTAAGTCTTTGGGTTCTATTAAAAAAAAAAAATTGGAAGATTTTTAATTTCTGGGGAGCCGGCCAGCGTGGTAGGAGGATGCTTTGCCATTTGACCAATCAGTAATTTTACTCTTAAGGAGATGGTTTACAAAGAAGATATTGAAACGATTGCTAGTTTATTAATAGCAGATGAGTTCGTTATTGCCTAACCGATGAATTGAGTGATACTGTATATACATGGATGTGATCAAATTAACAAAGAAGTAGAAAAAGTAAGGCAGCAAGACAAGTTTATTAAAAACAACAACAACACCAAATTCACTTATTTACAAGATGTATAAATCTATAATGTTAAAGAGTTTCCTAAACAATCCAAGAAATTATTTTCATGGCATTTATGAAATACTTTAAATACTGATTTTATTCCAGCAGAGGTAATGCAAGAAAATAAACTGAGCGAATCTGCTAAAGTTCTTCAAGATGCTACTGAGGTAAATGTGTGTTTATTTCTTTGAAATCAGGAACCAGTAGTCTTTTGTCCTTAAGTCAGAACAAAAGTGGATGGGTCTCCGGGGGAAAAAGGGGGGAGATATGTGAGAAAATAAAAGTGCTTGCTCTTTCCGTCTCATACACACTCACAGCACTCCCTCCCTCCCCCCTCAAAAAAGCCTCAGAAAAAATCATTACTGAAAAAATAAAAACATTTTACAGTTGTTAAAAGGCGTTTTGTCAGTGAATATTGGCATACAATGAAATAGACTTTCCGATCGGGGAGAAAGCTCCAACCGACATCAGGGTTTTATGGGATCATCTGCAGCTCCTGGGTTGTCTTCTTCTATAGAAGATTTGAGACAATCTTCTTAACTTCCTAAGCCATGATTTAATGAAGCTAGCAAAACCCAGCTTGAGCCTATATTTTGTTGTGAGTTTACCAACTATGTACGGACACATGTCCTCTCAGGCTTCTTTCTCTTTCTTTCAAGAAAATGGCTCTACAGAACAAACACATCCAGGAGCTGAGTGAAGCTGTGAAGCAAAAGGACAAACAAATAAGTCAGCTACAAGGTCTGGTTGGTCACTTGGAAGCTACCATAAAAGATTCTGTGAGTGTTTAATTTGTCTCCATGATCATCTCAAAGGTAGCTGTCATGTGCTGATGCCAAGCTTAAGGTTTGCCTCAAAGCAGAGCTTTTAGAAGGAATCCAAAAGCCAATTAGAACTGGGCTCCAAAGATGGCCTTTGGGATTTTATTTTCCAAAGTCAGCCTCTGTGTCTCCAAATCTATTAAGACAGAGGAGACTTTCAGGGATGGTCTATGATAAGGCAAAGAGGGTCTGCTGTTTATTTTCTTAAAGGTATGCACCTTGACGTGGTTAAATATGTTCCTTTGCTCCTTGGTTCCCGGCTCTGGTTTTTTGCTCGCAACAGAACATAACTGTGGGGAGGAAAGTAATTTTTGACTTGCTGTTGGGCATAAGGAAAAAAGTCTGCTCTCCTTGAGGCAGTCTACGCATCCCACCCTGGCTCTTGAGGTGGTGCACAATTGGCTTCAATTTGAAGGTGCCAGCTTCATTCTTTGTAGATTTTCTAATTCAGTGAGACCAAAGATCACTCTGACAAATATAGTAGGTAGTTATAGTTCCTACATTATAAAACCACTGCAAAATGAAACAAAGCCTCTTCAGTTCCAAGCTCATTCTGTGGCAGTTTGACAAGCATTGCCGCTGTATTATAAGTTAGAAGCAATAGCTTTATGCATCTTCTCACAGGCTAACATTAGTGAATGCCTTAATGGCCATGTGCCTGGGAGCTTGCATGCCCCCATAGGATGAAACCCTCCTTCAGGGGAAATGGTAATGGTGAAAGGGCTTTCTTATCCAGTGACTTGAGCTATACCATTAAGAGTGGACATCCTAATATGGAGTCCCCCATGATAGGCATGTCAAAGAAGAAGGATCAGACGAAATATGATCTGTTAAAGAAGGAAGTGACAACTCCCTCCAATAGTGTGCCAAAACCAAATGGACACTTACAACCAGGATATCAGCGTGAGACTAGCAGATGAGCCTCTCAGATCAGAAAGTATCCAAGAAGCCACTGAGGAAGAGCAGAGGCCAAGTACGAGTAGCACTGGCATTTATGATGTGGCTGGATCAAAGCTGAAAGGACATCTGGCAATTAATGTGGCCATAGGCAACATCAGATACATGAGCCAAGGCAAACTTGATGTTGTCAGGGTAGAAATGTCAAGATCTAACATTGACATTCTGGGAATCAGCAAACTGAGATGGACTCGAATTGATCACATCAAAGAAGCATCAGATCTACTGTAGGTAAGAAAATTATAGAAGAAACAGAGTAGGCATCATTATTAACAAAAAGGTGTAAAAGTTAGAGCCCTTGATTCAACCTCTAAAAATTACAACTGAAGCTGAAGAAAACAAAGTCACCTGACCAAGAAGAGATGACAGCAGGTATTCCTTATGGTATCTGTGGCAGACGTAAAGAATAGCTTTAATGGCTTAGATTTGATAGCTAAAGTGCATGAAGAACTTTGGACTGAAATCTGTGCCATCATTTAAGATGAAACCAACACAAATATCCTGAAATGAAAAAAGCAAAAGAAGGAAAAATGATGTCTGTTAATAGGCTGAAGATAGGAGAGATGTTTACCATGAAATGTGGTGCTTGCTACCAGTTTGGCTGGCTTCAAAAAAGAGTTGGACCAAATTGTGGAAGTCAGGGAGATTAATGGCTATTAGCCTTAATGCCAACATGACTGCCTCTGAGGGCCATCTGCTGGGAGATTAGTGGGTTTCTTTGTGGAGATGGTTGGCCACTGTTAGAGGAGACTGCTGGACTAGATAGGCCAGGGGTCTGATCTAGCAGGGCACTGCTTATGTTCTTACTTGGGAGAAAGCCAGTGACTAACGTAGACAAAATATTAATGTGCAAAGAAATTACATGACCCCAAAGTTACACATTGTCTATGTCATGGTTTTCCCAATTGTAATGTATGGCTTTACAGACCATCAGAAAAGCTGAATGAAGAAAAATGTATGCCTTTGAATTGTAGTGCTGGAGAAGATTGCTCAGAATAACTTAGACTAGAATCTAAATAATTCAGTACTGGATGAAATAAACCCAGATAGCTGATTGGAAGCCTTAATAATGAAGCTAAAGCTTAAATAATTTTGGCACTTAATGTGAAGGCCAGAGTCAATGGAGAAAACCCTGAAGCTTGAAAAAATCGAAGTGACTGACAGAAGACAAGCTGGCTAGATACTATCACTGATGATTCAAGCTTGAACCTACAAGAACACGAAGAAGCAGTTCCTGATAGGCAATCCTGTTGAAATATGTCCATTGGGGCACAAAGATTTAGAAGCAAGTGGATGATAACAACCTGATCCAAACTAAGGCCTCTTTCAAAAAGCCACATGGCCTTGTATAGGCAGAAAAACCTTTCCGATGTCTTCATACTCCACGTTGTTAGACAAGCTGTTCCTAAAACATAAAGGGCTTTGGGGAGCAATTTCTCAGGCAGCGTGGGAAGCGCTGAGAGAGGCTGATTCTCACACCTAGAAGTGTTTTCCCTGGGAAGATGATGTTCTCTTGATTTCATCCTAGTAGTATACCTGATTTAAAACTCCAAAGAGCAACTTCCATAAGAGAGAGAGAGTTCCTGATGCCTTTTGAAAGACAAGTGTTCTGTTTACTTTTGGTGTTACCATGTCAAGCAGTTATCTAAATTTTAGCCTGCTCCTTGAAGTGGATAACTAGAAACAGAGAGGTGTCTTTTCACAAATGTATTGTATATTTTTCCCTTCCACTTTGAATATTTTATGACCAAAAGAATGAAATAAAATATTTTATGATAATGAAAGGACAAAGCATTATACAAGAAGGGTGAGGATATATATAGATCCACTATGTGGGACCCATTATAAGGAGCATACGGGCACTCTCTCTGTCCCACAGTCAGTCCCATTTTTCTTTTCCACACAAGATCTTACAAACATCTGAGAATATGTATAAAGTTAGAGAAGAACCTAGGGAATAAGGTACTTTTTCTTATTTTCCACCATCAAGCTCCAGATGAGAGCACTAAAATTCTTGTGGCATTGGAAGGGAGCAATAGCCAGATTACTAAGAAGTTATCATAGTTACTCCATGTCTATATCTATTAGTTTGACTAATATTCCAGGAAGAAAGAATAGTTTTGGCGAGCCTACCAAAGGTAAAGAGTTAGTGAAATTAGCGAAGTATCTAAAATGAGTACTCTTGACAAATATATTGACTGGATATTACATTCCAGTCTGTTTGAGTAGCAATGGAAAAAAATCCTATTTAATTTTATCTTTTTATTGTAGGAGCAATTTAAAGTAGAAATGGCAAAACATGTGAATTGTTAATGTTTCTGCCCTTTAAGAATTGGCTTCCTTACTTTAATACAGGAGATCACCATTGCGACTATAAAACAGCAAATGGAACAGGAAAACAGTAGTGCAATGGAGCACACCCACTGCAGTGAATCCAAGGAGACAAATGTGGGTCCTGGAAGGAAACGATACTTTGAAAGGGAAGAAGGAGGCCCCCCTTCGAAGCAAGGTACCAGTTCCTCTTCTGCATATACAGAAAGGCTGCTGAGGTCCAAAATTACTTGTATATCAAAATAAAAAGCCAAAGTTACAGCACAGGATTAATGTTGAGCGCCAGAAGATGGCTGTCAGATCAGATGTGGTTGTACATCTTTCATGAACTCTATTGTTTTTATTTTATAAAAGTCAAAAATAAACATTTTTAAGTGGAACTTCTCCTTTTGCATGTGGTATGTGTGCTTCTCATCAAATTCATGTCATGAAATAGCTTCTGTTTTGTGAACCTGCTGGGCCTGCTCAAGTGTGTGTCTCTGTGCGTGGATGCCTATCATTTTGATTCTCCTAAATGTATTAGTCAATGGCACTTTCAAAATCCTGTCTTTGTGAGTCTACTAAGGACGTTACGTTTCCTTTAGTAAGAAAACTGGCATGCTCTACAAGATCCTGCATCTCTTCCATCTAAATTATTCTTCCCAGTTTTTTTACAGTCAGCAATTTGCATGGTAGTTAATATTTTTGGCTTGGGCTTCATACAGTAAAGCATCATTGTTAGAGAATCACCATTATGGTGATCATTAAAGGTCACCAGAATAAAACCTATCACTCTGCAGTATGTAACGTGCTAAGTATACGAACTGATGAATCTCTGCCACAGTTGTCTAGATCAGTGTTTCTCAACCTTGGCAACTTTAAGACATGTGGACTTTAACTCCCCGAATTCCCTAGCCAGTGCTGGAGTTGAAGTCCACACATCTTCAGGATGCCAGGGTTGAAAAACATTGGTCTAGACTGTCATGTACATTAGCCTTGTATATAAAGTGGCAAATATCCTAAAGCAAGACCTGTGGGGATAGAGATTAAAATTAAAGATATCTTCACAAACGTGCAGTTTTCTGTTCCGATTTTACTCATTTATACCAATTTCCAAAGCTGCAGACAAATAAAAATACATTTTAAATCCAACATGATATCTGTTTTTCCACTTGTTCTTTTTTTCCCCCTTAGGTTTTTTTTTTTCCTTAATTTTTCCAACTGGGGGGAACCTCTGTCCCAGGCCTTCAACAGAAAAAAATTCAAACATGTTCCCCCCAGGAGGATTAAAATGCTAAATTGGTCCTTATCATAAGAAGATGAAATTTACTGTTGGACTATTCGATGAATTAAAGATAAATCTGTCCCTCTTTTTATTCCTTTCTCTTTCCCGTGTATCAGATGTCTGTGATAAAAGAAGGAAATCATGTATGTATAGCTAAATGTCTGATCATGTGTCGTGCTACTCTGTATGCTTGTGTTGCTCAACAATCTATTCAGAACAGGAGTTCACCCTTTCTGAAGATGCTGAGATTAACGAGAGAGCAAGCTCGTTGCACAGTCGGGCATTTCTTCTGGATCAGTGTGAAGTTTGTCGGAAGTAGAAGTCGCTTTCTAATATATTTTCATGCCTCTGCAAAATTGCATCCCACAAATGCTTCTATTCTAATATATATGTATTTTGGAAATTATTTTATATCATTAACCATTATCCTTTGATGAGTTTGTTCTTTTTCTGGCCTGTTGTAACTATGGCTTACCATTCGGTATATCTGAAATTGGCTCATTTTAAAGCACAAAGGGCACGGGGAGAGACTTATATTTGTCCCTCTATTTTGCCATTGAATACAATCTCTGGTTTCTGACAGAATAACTTTTTGGTCCTATGTAAGTTTTTCTTCAACGTTTCTCTTTTCAAATGTATGCTAAATAGCAATTGCCTAAATCCAGACTAGCAATTTCAGGTTTCAATTATCAATAGCCAACTAGAATTACTACCACATTATTCTCCTTGACTAGGAAGAATTTTCTTGGTGGGTCAACATTGCACTGCTGTACAAAAAATAGACCATAAGTTCCTTTTTGGAACTGATGCTGGTCTATATAGATTTAAAATTGCTATTGCTCGCAGCCAACGTTTTTGTTAATGTAATTGTATCGCATTAAAACCCAGTGGCATTTAGCTCAGCCTCACAAAAAATAATGCTATAAAGATAGAACAAGATATATTTGAAAATGTATTATAGTCGTATAAAAATGCATGTAAAAATCAAAGAGAGATGTGATGTTTCATATCTCTGAATATATTTGGCTAAACAGCAAAAAATAAGGAAAAATATTTCTAGAAGCCTTCAGATGTCTAAACAAGACTGTATATTCATTTGGACTTCTGCCTCACGCAGTGCCTTCACTGCAGATAAGCTATTCTGCACATCAGTGTCAACTTCTTAAGTAGTTGCCCAGGGAAACATTTCTAATATCTGTGTAGAAATTGTAAAACAAGTTAGCTGCCTGGTTTTCCCGAAATCGATTTTAAGAAAATAAAGAAGGAAATAAGAAGTTTCCAGATGCCCTTTTCGGATCCTCTATTCATGTGGCCAATTTTCTAAAATGTTGTTACAAATCTATTGACGATGACTGAATAAAATTCATCTTTTTAATTTTTGTAGGATTCATTCACAACAGTTCTAAAGATGCCATAGTCTCAGAGACAGCTGATGAAACACAACCCCATCCTTTGAAGGAAAAGGGAGAAATGGTGGCCTTGGAGGAAAAAAATAAAATGTTAGAAGTTCAGTTGGCCTTACTTAGAGAAAAGTTAGAAAAAGAGGAAAATGAGAAGGAGGGATTTTCCAGAGAAATAGCTAGATTGTCTCAAGCTCTTTCTTCAGAAAAGGAAAGAGCTTCTGGCTTGAATAGGGAACTCCAGCAGCAGCAGGCAAATTATGAGCAGGCAACACTTGAAATAGCTGTGCTGAAAGAGAGAAATAAGAGCCAAGAGGAGAAAATTCAGACTCTGCTTCAAGAGATAGGTGCCGCTAGCCAAATCATTGTAGAAGAAAAATTACAGATAAAGACACTTGAAGCAGAAATGGGTTTATTGAACAGGTTAGGGTCACATTGCCCTGTGGTAGATGTTGACTTGGCAAATCAAGAAAATATGTCAAGAGATGAGCATTTGCCGACCCATGTTAATGCTGGTCAAAAGAGTTCATTTCACAGTAGTGTTGAAGGTATCTGGAAAATAAGCCAGCAGATCATTAATGCTTCAACTCAAAAAAGCAGTTGTATTGGAGACCTCATGCAACAGGTTGAGCAGTTGCAGAGGAGAACTTTGGAGGCTGATGAGGAGAATTCTCAGCTGAAGTTGAAACTGAGCGAAACTGTCAGTCAGAGAGATGCAGCTATGCAGGAGAAGACATCCCTTCTTAATCAGCTAAGGGACTTGCAACAGGAAAATGCTTGTTATGCCAAAAAATATGAGGAAGCAGAGAATAGAGCACTTGCCCATTTGGAGAGAATAAAAACAAATGAGGACCTCTTCGAAGAGTGTAGAGCAAAGGATGTCAGAATAGCTTCTTTAGAGCAAATTGTGAAAGATAAAGATTCAGCCATTTTAGTGATGGAACAAACGGTTCAAGGCATGGAGGAGAAGCTTAGCATTTCAGAAGCTAAAATCAGGAAATTCACAGATCAGGAATCACAACTAAAGATGGAAGTTCTAGAGCTGAAAAGAATGATTGAACTTGAGGGAAAGAAGAAAGAAGAGTCAAAGCAAGCCACAAAAGAGTAAGTTTTTATAACTTTCCTGCTTAAATAATACACGGATATGAATATAACTCTCAGGTGAGATTAGACCATCTATATTCTGCTTCCCTTCTCTCAAGGAACAAGAAATGCTTAATCTAAGACAGTTTTTCAATCAGATGATTTCTGGGGGTTGAATTCCCACTTCTAGGCTTTAGTAATCAAATTGCATCACCAGTCAAGTCATTGACTGATCTACTCTCTTAATAAATTGGTCAATTTCCTTTTCCCCTTGATTCTGTGTCAAAAGAGCAATAAATATAATTATATTCCTCCGGGTCATCTCTGAACCCTTTTCTAAATCTTAAATGAAAGTGGCCTAGAAGAATATAATAACTGGTGACAGTGTTAAAGGACTGAAACCTAAGACACCAAGGCTACAGACATATAGTCACTTTGGGGTAAGCAGCATGAACATAGTGGGGCTGCTTCTGAATAAACAATCTTGGGAATGGGTTGTATATTTATTTTGGACGAAGTGCTACAGAACTGTCAGTCCTTCGAGGTAGACCAGACTAGGAAACCAATAACATGTACGTCAGTACTACCTTTATGTAAAGCTTTAGTAACAACATCTTGCAAGTCTGAATGCACGTCCCCCTCCTTCTTTTTATCTTTGTGTGAACTGAGGAGGGGCTTGTCTGAGATGTTTACTCACAATGCATTTTTGACTCAGGCTCAGGCCTTTTTTTCCCGACTGCTGCCTTGGTAGTGGCCCTTCTTCCTGTCCCTCAAGGCTATTTCCTCTGCCCTCTACAAGAACATCATGCTTAGTAAGCTAGTTAAATGAGTGGCATAAAAGGAGCTCAAAAACCACACTCAAATAATGCTCATGAATGCCTCCTCCCCAAACTGGAGGAAGGTATTGAGTGGGCTTTCTGGGACATGTAATGTTCAACATTTTTGTTAATGATCAAATGATGAGGTGAGGGGATGCTTACCAGATCTGAAGAAGACATAAAGCTCTATTGAGCAGCTAGTGTCTTACAAGCAGAAAGAAAATACAGAAAGACCTTGCTGGGTTAGATAAATGGGTTGAAAATAATAATGAAATTTAACAGACAAATGCCAAGTTCTTTAGAAAAAGAGATCAGAATGCCACATTTTGAATGGAGGAGGATGTTTGCATTTAGAAGAGAAGATTAACACACTCTGCTTCTGGCTATTCTTGTCTAGAAGCTTCAGTTAGTGCAAACTGCAGCAGTTAGATGCTGAGACATGGTACATGTTAAAAGATCTATAGGTTGCCAGTTGTCTCTGCACAATTTAAGATGCTAGTTTTAACCTTCAAAGCCCTGAACAGCTTAGGCAATTTTAGAGAGGCTGTATCTCAATAGGAACCTGTCCAGAAGGGCACCAAATGTGCCAGAAGATCTCTGTGGAACTGCATAGAACACAGGTGGTGATGACAAAATTGCAGATTTGGCTGATTTGGCTGGACTTTCCACAGAACATTGTTGTGGATGTGATTGTATGTACGTGAGAGAGAGAAGAGAAGATTCCTGTAGAAATACAAAGAAGTTTCCTTAGTGAGCTTTTCTGACTATTGTTACCCATGGTTGATACTGACTTGGACTTAAGTCAAAAAGTGAAGTGTATCATAGCTTTAGTGTAACGGGGAAATCTGTGCCCTGTAGTCTGCATACAGCTTCTGACCCATTTTGGTTTTCCCTGAATTCCTCCCAAATGACATCATTTCTTTGTTCTACTTTCTGATCAAATACCAGTAAAATAGGTGTGTTTCTTTTGTAACCCACATAGCAAACAGAACTCATAAAATTGGGGATGAACATTTTGGGCCCATTGAAGTGACACTGCTGGCTGTGCCTCAGTGGTACTGGACTGGACCCAAAATGCCCTAGGGCTCTTGGAGGCTAAGGCCAAACTGAAAAATTAAAGCAGTACCATCAGGCACAAAGAATTGCTCATTCCTGTTTGAGAAGAACACTTTCTGGGTAAGAAGTAGAGACTGAGATGATCCATTTGCACTTTTAAGTTGCTATTGAAATATGTTAGACTCCTGGCTCTGTTCTATTCCTGATTGGTTAAACTAGAACTCTGCAGCTTAGGAGCTATTTCTAAAAGACTTTATTCTCTCTCGCACACACACACAGATGTTCTCTGTTTCTCTTTCAGATTAAAAGAAGAGCTATTAAAGAGCACTGATCTTTCTTCCCGCCTTCAAGCAGAAATCCAACAGAAAGATGAAGAATATGCAGATCTGAAGGAGAAGTTGGCTGATACCAAAAAGCAGATTGAGCAGGTTCAGAGACAGGTCCGTAAGAGGAAGAAGTTACTTTTTCTGTCATCCTATACGCAACTCTTCTCTTGTCTTTCCTACCCATTCCTAATTTGGTTAGTTACGCTTGAAGATGTAAAATTGGTTAAATTGAAGTATTTCAAGGAAGAAACTAAACAGATCGGCCTTCCACTGTTGTCGACTGAGAAGCTCTTTCAAAGGTCTGCTGATGGTGGTGGATGACGTTTGTTTTAGTTTTGTTCAAAGCCTGTTTAGGCCATGATCACTGGGCAGTTTCCATTCTCACTGGTGCAACAGAGCTATTGTTAACCCACAGATTTTCTTGACTCTTTTCTTTTTCCTTGCAGTTAGTTCAGATCAAGATCTTTCTTTCCTCCCTGCTGTTAGGAACTCCATTTGCTCTGCTTTCAAAAGATGACACATCTTCCTGCTAGAAGTCATCTGTCTGCTCATGTCCATGCTTGACTTGTTCCCCTTCTCTGTATTTCAAATTGCAACCCAAATATGTGAAAAAGTACCACTCTCTAACTGGGTATGATACACCCCTCTGGAATCTTTTTACAGGTGTGCAGCATGCGTGCTGAAGAGAAATTGCTGCGGAGTAAAGTTAATGAACTTGAGAAGGCCAAAGGCCAGCTAACTGGAGAACTAGACCTCAAGCAGCGGACAATCCAGCAATTTAAGAAGGTGCCACAGAACGTTTTGATCTTGGTAACGTTGTGCGGGGGGACACTGAGGATGACTTGCACAACACGGCCATTGCTCTGCAGTCTGTGCTCTGCATGCAAAGCTCCTAGGTTCAGTTCCTGGTGGAGCTGAGAAATAGCCCAGCATGAAATTCGAGAGACTCACTGGCAGGCACCAGTAATAATAAGCAGATGGCTAGACGAATGGTCTGACTCATTATTTTATTTATTTAGCATTACTTGGATACTGCCTACTCATTCGATTGTAGGCAGCCTACAATTCTAAAAGTAAAACATCAATAAAATCACTCTTGTTGGCCAAGCCCACAGCCACCCACTGAAGGGCTGAACACATTATCTAATGCTCTCTTCTCCTAAAACAGTGGTTGGGGAATTCTGTGAGTTGAAGTCCACACATCTTAAAGTTCCCAAGTTTGAAAAACACTGTCCTAAAGCTTTGAGTAAGGATATGATATTTACTGTTTTCTTAAATGATAATAGAGTAGGGATCATCTTGATGTCAGGGGCAGGCTGTTCGAGAGAGAGAGGACAGTGATAGAAAAGATCATTCTCTGTGTCCCTGTGCCAATTCTTTCTGGAAAGTTGGGGGCTCATAGCAGACTTGCTTGGCCAGCACATACTGGACAAATTCCATCTGGAGCAGGCGGTCCTGAAGACAGCAAGGACTTTTTGGGCTTTCCTAATACAAAAACACAATTAATGTAGCATGTGGAGGTTACAAGTATGAATACAGAAGTCTCTAATTCACACCTTACAATGGCCATATAAGGTAGTCCTCACTTAACAACCATTTGTTTAGTGACTGTCCGAAGTTATGATGGCGCTGAAAAAAGTTGCTTATGACCGGTCCTCATACTTATGACTATCGCAGCACCCCCGTGGTTACGTGATCACAATCTGGGTATTTGGCAACCAGCTCTCACAACGGTTGCAGCATCCTGCAGTCACGTGATCACCATTTGCGACCTTTTCAGCTGGCTTCTGGCAAGCAAAATCATGGCATGATTCACTTAATGACCGTGTGATTTGCTTAACGACCACTGCAAAAAGGTGGTAAAATTGGGTGCAGTTACATGATGCTTTGCTTAATGACTACCCTGCTTAACAATGAATTTTCTGATCCCTATTATGGTAGTTAAGCAAGGACTATCTGTACTGTATTTAAGGTTTGCCTTTAAAGCATCATCTCTCTCTCTCGGCTCCTGTCAGCCCAACCAGGTAGATCAGAAGTCCAGGAACCAGCTCCACAGGAAGGCTAAAACTACTGTATATACTCACAGATAAGCCCATCTGTGGATAAGCTGACCTGCAAAATTGCAACTAAAATACCAGGAAAAATGTGCCTCCTGCAGATAAGCCAACCTGCTTATCCATACTGCCATGACTTCTTCCATTTTGGCATATCTTCTAAACTAGCTTTCCTTTTCTTCCATTCACAGACTTGTTTTTTGTTTACCTCAAATTCTCTGACAGCAACAGAATTGTTTGTCTTTTCCGCACTCCTAATAACTATTAGCTTGAAAGCTGCATCAACTGCTAACTGTTGGCGATTTCCAGACATGGCAATTACCTATCTACCAGAAATGTGTGCAGCAAAAGGCAGGAAACTGCAAACTTTTACGCCATCATTTAAAGCCCATGATTTATTTAAAAAAAAAAAAACCTGAGCTCTGGTCCTTTCTTTCTTCTTTACTGAGTCATGGAAAGCCAACCAACCACAGTCCTTCCAGAGCTAGAATCCTTCTTGAACCAACACACATCTGGGTCAGGCTTCTTAATTTTTACTGTATTTGGATGCTAACAGTGTCATGGTTATGACCCATCTTTAGATGAGGCAACAACTGCTAGTAATTTCTAACCAGTGCAGTCTAGCTGATTTTGACCTAGGCAGAGCATAAAGTCTATGCTTATAGCAGAGGGTTTGTTTTTTAATGCTTAGCCTTTCTTCCTTACGGGGGGGCGGGGAATACCTTTTATTAGCTGATGTCTTTCATCTACAATAAAACATTCAAAGAAAAGCTATCATTAAAAACTTTTAAATGTGAAGTTGCAGATAGATCTACTCAAAAACAGACTGAATTTAATGTGGGTTACCATCGTATGTGTTTAAGGCTGCTACCTCAATGCAATTGAGCACAGTGACTGACTTTAAGATTACACAGTTTTTATGGTAAGAAACTTTTACAAAATGTTTAGTGTCTGTGTCTGGAGTTTTTCTTTCTGTGTCCAAATCAGGATGATCTGAGTAAGAAGCTGGAGGACGCTTTACAGCAGTACCAGAAAACATGTGAAGGTATGTAATGACTAAGTGTGTGTGTGTGTGTGTGTTTGTGTGTCTGTGTCCTAAATGTTCGTGCTTCTTATTCTTTCTGGATTTTATACATTTTGTTACTCTATATTTGTTGATCTGAAATACTACATCAATAAAAATCCCTGCTCATCATATTAATATGCCTCCTTTCTGCATTCAGCAGAAAGCTGAAGTGGGGAATCATTTGGGTTGGGAAAGCGGTGCTGAGGCCTACAGGAAGAGCCGTGTCTCCTGTTCCCCATTTAGTCATTTCTTCCACGGAAGGACTGCAAAGAGGGTTTACAGAGTAGGCATTTTTTCTTCAATCTTATAGATGTACGTTCCAAAGACAAAATCATTGAAAATATGAGACTGACTTTAGAGGAGCAAGAACAGACTCAGTCTGAACAAGATCAAGTTCTTCAGACCACATTAGAAGAGAATGAAAGGTGTAAGGCAGGTAAGCCACAATTGAGGATAACTTTATTCCCTCTGCTTGCTCACACATATGCCAGGCAGCCTTTGAAAGCAATATGTAGATTTCAATTATAGATTTCAAATTGATTGTTATTGATTGATTATGTGCTATCAAGTCATTTTCGACTCCTAGTGACCACATAGATAGATCTTCTCCATGACGATCTATCCCTAACCTGTTCTTTCAGGTTTCCCAATGGTGGCTTCTTCACCTCTAGTCATCCTTTTCTCTTTCCTTCCACTTTTCCCAGAGTTAGGTCTTTGCATAATGCATCTGAAGTAGGATAATTTATCTGGACCTGTTTCAGTCTGGCCAAGGACCTAGGAAGCATGCCTTCTCGGTTGCAGCCCCCACCCTCTGGAACAGCAACCCCCCCAGAGATAAGGGGAGTGCCCTCTCTCCAGAAAGCCTTGAAAACCTAGCTTTGGTCCCCGGCCTGGGGTTGATATTTATTATTTGTTCAGTCGCCCCTGTTTTGTTTTATTGCTTTTGTTGTCCTTTAGATCATTTTAGTCTGGGCTGTCTGATTTAATGTTTTCAGCTGTTTTTACAATTTTTCTAGTTTTGTATGCCACCCAGAGTCCACTGGAGTTGGGTGGCCATTAAATTTAAAATAATAATAATAATTATTATTATCATCATCATCATCATCATTTGAGCCTGGCCATTTATGCCTCACGTGAGAACTCTATGTTAATTTGTTCAATGATCCATCAGTTTGTTTTCTTGGCTGTCCATGGTATTCTCAGGAGCCTTTGCAACACCAAAGTTCAAAGGTGTCAGTACTCTTTCTATCATGCTTCAAATGGATATGGAAATAGATATGTAAATTTCTGTCCCTCTGGCAAATTCCAAGGATAGAACCTTGTTAATCTGTTGTGGCAAAAACAATCCTGCAGCATTTTTCATAGATAAGCAGCATCTTTAGGACAAATGTATTTCAGTTAGCTGGCTGGTATGCTTATACAGGTAGTCCTCATTTAGTGACTGCCTTGTTTAGCGACCATTCACAGCTACGACAGTGATGAAAAAGTAACTTTGCAACCAATCCTCACATTTATGACCTTTGCAGATCTGTAAAGCAAAGGAAAGCTGAAGTAAGATCATAAGCACATTTGTGGTTTCACTTAGTAATTGCCTCACTTAATGACCAAGTTGTCAGTCCCAATTGTGATCGCTAAACGAGGACTACCTGTATATACACATATATGCAACTTGCAGGAGAATTAAAATATGGAAATTTGACATTTCAATTTGCACAAGCTGCTTGAATTCTGTAATCTATGTAGGCTAATAGTGACTATCTTCAGCTGCTGTTAATGGGATTCATTTGGTATCTTGCAGTTGTATGTTATCTTGCTAATGCGCCTATTTTCCTGTAGAATTGGAAAAGTTGGAAAAAAGATACTGTGAGCTAAAGGAGCAGAAAAATGATCTGAGGCCACAAGACATTAATGAAGTCTATGAAAAACGCACAACCTTGCTTCATGAACAATTAAAACAATTGCAAGAGAAACTGGAGGTAATGCTTCAGTTCCTGTCACATTTAAAAGGCAATATGGGACTTCATGCCAAACTACTTGTGGGGATCATGTGCATTTTTAGTTTATTTCTTGGAAAAACTAAAAAACTGGCATTGGTAGTCTTGACAGAAGGATGAAGGATTTTTTTATAATGGTGTGATCAAAACAGCATGATTTCAGTTTTTACACATATTTGTATGTTTCACCTTGTTCTTTCTAGCATATTTTTAGTTGCTCTCAGTCCAGTCAACAGTAAAAATACCAATCAGATTGGTATAAAATTACAATAAAACAACATTTAAGTAAATCAGGAGGTACAAGCAGCCACAACAGAAATACAGGAAGTCTCTCAATTGCAATGGGCAAAAAATTGAATGAATGAATGAGCAAACAAACAAACAAATAACAGAGGAAACTAAAGGCCTGGGAGAATAAACCGACTTTGCTAGTTGCCCCCAAAATAACAGAACTTGGATCTGTCTAATGGGCTGCTTCTAGAAAGATCTGTTCCCCAATAACCACACACTACACTTGGGTCCTTGGGTGGGAATATATGGGAAGATGTGTCTCTTTAGATGCTGACCTCCCTGGAAGTGAAGTACTTAATTGGCTTGTACTAACATATTCAACTGGAATCTATTGTTAATGGTAGGAAGGAAACCACCATTTTGAGCAGAATTGGTAGAAAGGAATGTGGTGCCCAGTTGTTGACTTTACTCAGCTGAATACAATATTGAGTCTATGAGCAAGATAATGAAGGAAAGTGGAAGCTGATTCAAGGGAATCACAATGGAAGATAGAAGAAAACCTGTTTCCCTTCTAGTGTGAAAGAAGTGAATGTACATGCATCTTATACATGTGCATGGATGCACATACAGCAGAGGTGTCCACAAGGATGTGGTCCAAAAATTCAAGATGGCAGTCACAGTGATGCAATCAAAGCTCTGCCTGTTCTTATATCTGTCATGCATGCAAAGCTTTAATCACACCATCAGGGTGCCACCTTGCCTCTTTTGACCACATCCTGACATACCTGGCAACATGACATGACCTGACACCCTGACGTGACCTGGCAACAAATCATGGCCCTCAAGACTGAGAAGACATGTGATTCCTTGATTAGAAGCAACTTGCATGTGACTTTCACTTAGCTTTGTACAAAGTCTGTGTTTGTCAAATTTAGATGAAGCAGGAATCTTCCGTTTTCTTTGCTTTGCAGTCAGAGGAGATGAGGAGGGAAATGAAGATTGAGCTCACAAGGGCAGAACGTACCCTAGAATGCCTTCATCTGATAAATTAGAATTCAGTGTTACATGTGAATTCAGCTGATATTTGAACACAATAAGACTATTTTCAGCTCTCTTTGGCAGGCAGGCAAGCATATTTTGAGGGATTTTGGGGGTGGGGGTGGAGAATTTCAAATCTTAATCGTTTTGTCTCTAGGGCTTTTTCACTTCCATTAGAAGAAAAGGTGTAACTGATTCCTTTTAAAACAGGAAGGCAAAGAACAGCATGAAACAGATCGTAGGAAGTGGCTAGCAGAAAAGATGCTCCTCATAACTCAGGCGAAAGAAGCGGAAACTCTCCGTAACAAGGAGATGAAAAAATTTGCTGGAGATAAAGAACATTATGCCAAGCAACTCACAGAAGCAGTAAGTGATTTTTTGTTTCTCCCTTGTATCTTTGGAAAGATGAAAAAAATACAAAAGACTTGTGAATGAATGACTTCCAATTTATCCAGTACCTTACTACTGAGTGTATCATTTCCAAAAGTACACATGTGCGTACACAGATTATGCAAGAGCATGCATGCACATACACACATTACAATATTTAAAAACTTGAAAGCCCTTCAACAACAGTAACAATAATAATTTCTAAGGATTCTAACAGGACACCCTACACAAGTCTACCTCTGAAAATAAGGCAGAAACTACAGCTGGTGCAAGATGTATTATATTACTGAACTAAAGTTCCTATAGTCATATAACACTGTTGGGATGCAAGCCATAATGCTGGTTTTGATTTACAAAAGCCTGTATATCTTGGCACCGAGGTACTTACAGGATGGCCTCCTTCGCTTTGAGGTGGCCCACTTGACTTATCCTCGATTTGTCCAGTGTGGGCCTTTTAATGGTCCCCCACATAAGGGAGGTGAAAGGGTGGGGTTTGTGAGCAATGTTTCTTTATGGTAGTCTCCATATTATGCAACACCCTCCCCCTCTAGATTAGATTGGCACCCTCAGTGTTGGCCAAGGGTATCCGTGGGGTGTGATCAGAAAAGTCAAGATGGTGGCCATGACAGTATGTTGCAAATAAAAAACAGTCAGAGCTTTGATTGCATTGTCATGGCCACTGTCCTGGCTTTTTGACCATATCCTGTAGACACCCCCACACACCCCTCCCGCACCGTTGTTGGCCTTCCAGAAAGTGTTAAAGGCAGAGTTGCTTCCAAGGGCCTTTGGGGAATGAATGGCCACCATTATACTTACCACTTTATGGTTCCTGGTTGTTTCTGTTTGTATTGGCTTTTATGTTTTGACTCTATTTTTATGTTGTAAACTGCAAGGAATCATTTATTGTAAACACAATAAAATTATCATCATCATCTCCTCTTGTCTTTTCTCCAGGAAAAACTTGTGGCAGAAAAAGATCATGACCTTCAAAGATGGCGAGTAGAAAGAGACCAACTCGTGTCAGCTCTAGAAGTTCAGCTGAGTTCTCTAATCTCGAGTAATGCACAGAAAGACAAAGAAATAGAAGAATTGAAAAAGATGCTCCTGAAATCTTCTAGGAAGGTTTGTATAGTTCGTTATTCTTTCACAAATATTCTTTTTCTTTTTCCTCTGCTGTTCCCAATTATTCAGCCTACCGGGGAGCAGGGGTGTGGTTAAAAAAATCAAGATGGTGCTCTGGGCAATGCAATCGAAGGCCTGTTCCTTCGTACGTACAGTACACGCATATTGATTACTTTGCTGTGACCACTACCTGGCATTTTTTTGACATACATGCTCCATGATGTCTACCTATTGTCACTTCACAACATTGATTGATTGGTCGATTTGTACACCACCTGACACTCCCCCCCCAAACAAATCTGAGCAGTTCACAAGAAAACAGGAGAATCATAAAACAATAAAAGAACGTAGCAATAAAAGAAGATAACCCAGAAAGCAAAGATGGGAAAACTGGGCAGCAACAAAACACACGTCCATTCCTCGGAAGTGGCTGCACCCATCCTAACCAAAGGTCTGGGTGAAAAGCCAGGTCTTTGAGGACTTCCAAAATACCAGTAGGGTGGGAGCCAACCAGGGCTTGTGGGGAAGGTCATTCCAGGGGGCAGGCCTGGTGGAAGTCTCTTTGAGATGAGTTTAGGACCTGGAGAACAACTTTACCTTCCCAAGGAAACTTCTGGAAACAATGTGCTCATTGGTTGTCAGGAGAATATACACACTATTTCACCCAACATGATGCTAGGAAAGGTCTGCCTATGCAGTGACAGAGTAGCCCAGTTGCATAACCAGAAGAGATGATGTCAATCCTGCTGCATGGTGCAACTCTTTGAGGAAGAGTTTCTGGGGAATAGCCATGAAAGGATTTCCCAGTTACATCTGGGTGGCCACCAGGGGAAGAATGTTGAAGTGGATAAGATGGTAGGTTGAGCAATGGGAATTTTTCTTCTCAGCCAGCCCTAATACAAGGCTACTGTTTCTGTGGTTTCTTTTCAGAAATTATCAGTGGCAGCATAGAGCCCCATAGGTTACATAATTAAGCAGAGTTAAGCACTACATTCTCCACATCTTCTGGCTGCTGGCCAGGCTCTTGATATTTAAAGTTGCTGATTGAAAGTTCAGCAAGAATCTAGTGTGACCTTTGGAGGTACAAAATCACCATCAGTCTCATTCCTTCTCTCTTTGACTAAGTGCTTCCACCACATGGGCTTGTTTGCAACTGTCAGGTCACTGCCAGAACCAACAATAGTGACAAATATGAGTTTATTCTGATAGGCAGGTTTTCCAAAAGATCTTTCAAAGCTTTTAAATATAGATTGGTTTTAAAGAAATAAACAAATGCTTTCATAATTAAAACAATAATACAAGAGCAGACAGTCTTTTCTCCGGGGATGGGGGGGGTATTTTTATGCCCTTCAGGGAGATGCTACCGAAGTGGGTGCCTTTAACATGGTTGGAGACCATTTAAAGGCCAAATGAATATTTTAGTTTTTGCAGTGACTTAATGCATCCAATTTGCCACTTAAATTGATCAGGGAGGGTGTCAGGTTTTAAGAGTGCCCTTTAAAACTTTGCAATTCCACCCCCCTCAGTAAAAGGCAAAAACAATGGTCCAAAATGTTTGGCCTTATCTGCACAGGGGAATCTGTGGGCTTAAATGCAGTGCAGGGAAGTGTTAGCCCTAATTGAACATAGAGCAGAGTATTTTGTGAGAATCAATCTTCTGTAAAAGCTGAAGTGTTGAATTAGGGACAGGTAGGTAAAAGGTAAAGGTAAAGTCTCCCTTGAGTTAAGTGCCCATGTAGATTTTTTGCCAACCATACGGAAATGGTTTACCATTGCCGTCTTCTGGGATGATCAGGTAGACTGTAGAGAGTAAGGAAAATGATCTTGATGGAGATATCCAAGATCCTTCACCAGGGTGACAGTATGGGGTGGGGGGGTGAAACATATTTTAAGTCCACAGCAGACAGATAATATTTGGAAATGGCTCAGGCAGACACCTCCCTAATTCTCTGAGCTATAAGAAGGAGAAAGATACCACACAAGACTTGCAAGATTGATGTCAAACCATCGTAGACCTGGTCTATGCTGGCCTACCCTACTAGGTAGACCAGATCAGGAAATCAACTCTATAGGAAGGCTAATACTGCTTTTATTGGAATAAACTCTCACAGCAGAATCTTGCAGGTTTGATTGTGTCGTACCTTTCCCCCCTTCTTATACTCCTGTGAATTAGGGAGGTTTCTATCTGAGCTACTTCCAAATATTATCTGTCCATTGTTGTGATGGAATGGACTTATGAAGGCCATGCTCAGGGAGATAAGCATGTTCTTAGCCCCCA